AGACGCCCGTGATTTTATTTGCGCAAAACTGCAATATTAAGTTGTAAAGTCTCAACATCGACTGCACTGATTGAATTTTAATTGAGATCATTGAATAATAGATAAAGTTTATAAAAATATTTATCAATTTTTTTCCATTATTATCTACAAACGAAAATACATATAAAGATATATTCAAAATATAATTACATTAAATTTTAATGCTAATTAAGTCATTCATTAAGATATAGCAAAGTTATGGATACAAATTTTCTTTTTATTTTAACACATGTTATTTAAATTTTTTCTTATTTCGAGAAGTAAGACGGTATTTGAGAAAATTATTTTATATGCAGTAACATTATACGGCACAAAAATAGCAAAGAATATAGTAAATTATTATTTACATATAAACTTACATCATGTAACAAAGAAATAAAAACGAAAAATTACTTATTTGACGTAAAGAAAAAGAGAGGAAAGATACAAGACATGAAAATACTTACTTTCTTTTCATATACATATTAATCCCTTTCTGAAAAATTTCATCACCCACTGTATGGTGTAGCATACGCAATATAGAAGGTGCTACAACAGATGAGTATTATAAGATCAAACATGCAAGAAACCATACAGTATATTTATCGAAGTTCTCCGAAATATTGATAAAATTACAATTAATTAGAAATTTCGACGTTTTTGGAATATATTTGTTTTAGAATATGTCATTACTTATTTCAGTGAATAAAAAAATATTTAATTAAAATATGTAAAGTAAAAATTTATTTTTGATATAGTTTTTAAATAATTTTACATGTTTTAATTGTTTCAACTTAATTTATTCAGTACTCTATACCTTTTATGTAATAGGTGAAAGAGAAGAGAGAATTAATTTCAAAAATACTGTTAACTTCTGAACCAAGAGGATTCATAACTTGTGAATCATCTAGACGGAGAGATTCTTGTTGAGTCTGGACTACGAATAAATCCAACATCCGACTCTTAGGCATAATCTAGACATTATAAGTATAGTCAAATAAATAATAATTTAATTATTAGTTTATTATCATTAGTCTAATAACCCTTAACAATATAATTCAAATAATAAAAATTTTATAAACGATTTCACATGAATGCGACAAAATTCTTTTCGTTCAACTTAAATATCATTGAAAATATTGGAAGAATATTCTTTCCCTCCTCGTGTGTTTTCAAATAAAACTTATATTCAGTTTTCTTTGAAAGTATTGTTACACGTGAAAAAATACCTGATTGATTGTATATACGCCGAACAAAGTAGCAATACCCTCGTTCAGCCACATGCAAGACCACCATGATGGACTAACCGCGGTACCAAACAATTGACCAACCACTTTACGTCCTATTTTACGTGATAATTCTATTTTGCGTGCAATAGGATCTATTTTTTCATTGTAAATAATATCTTCTTCTCTAAACACAACAAACAAATGATTCGTTATATACAAATATTCACAATATATGCTATTTTTTAATACTGGTAGCATTACATATTATATAATATTTACTACGTTTCTTTGTTCTACAATTTTTATTATACAATGCTTACAATGTTTTATTAGAAAACTATAAAAATTAATTTTTTTAAAACATATTCTACCTGTAAAGTACGAACGCCAATTTATCCACGCCATCATCTGTCAAACCTGCGATCGCAAATTGATTTCTTAATAAATAATCTTCGTGTAGTTGCCATGTATGTTCAACAGTACGTGTGACATCTTCAATTAATTTCAAAATTTGATCCCATTGTACTTCCATCAACTCTCTTCTCCATAATTTGACGTTTTGTATGGGACAAATACCAGTATAGTCATGCTTATCAAATATCACAATTCCTATTCGGTATGTGGGTATTTCAGAAGTTACGATATAGTATGTCGTCAAAGGTTTTGACATAGATGTAAAAAGAACAGAATTTGAAAAAACATTGTAATATTCAGGAACCTTTACAGCAATGATAAATTCAGCTTTCAATCCGGGTTCGTCCCAACATGGAAAGAGTCGTCGCATTCCTACCGCTGAGTTATTTGTTACGATCAGCCATCTAATATATTCAATTAATTTTGATAATTGTGTAATAAGACAATTTTTTATTTTCAATAACATTTAAATTAATTTATTACAGGAACGGGGGAAAGAGCGAATATATTTTAATAGGAATATTTTTGCAGCTCTTATGTTTTATTAGTGTCAAGATGTGACCTTCTTTTCTATTACTTTTTTCCAATTTCAATTATATTTATGTTATTATGCATAGATATAT